AAAAAAAAAAAAAAAACAGCTATTGATTCTTCCAAGAACTACCATACAGATGAACACACACTTTTTGCCAAGATCTGACAGCTGGAAATTTTCATCCTGAAGAAGGGTTCAGACAAAATATTTTTATAAAGAAAAAATAATAAAAAGGTTGTACTACCCTCCACTCTCCTTAAAGGTGACAGAAAATAAATTCTTTATCAATAGTCATTTGTCCAGTTACAGCAAAGCTGCCAACCCCAGTCCACAAGAGATAAGAAATTGGCTCTCACTGGTACCTTTTACTCATCCCATTTGCCCTTTACCCTTTCACAGACCAAGGCAGAGCAAATGGGAGTTGAATAATGAAGGGGGGGGAGAAAACACACAAAAACAAAAACGAGACACCACAGTGAGAGTTATTGTAACTGAAAGCCTGTACCATATGTGGAGAAAAGACAAAAGTCCTATGTGAAATATAATAAGCAAAGTAAATATGAGAGTCTAACCAAAAAAAAAGCCTTATTAAAATAAAATTCAATTAAAAATAATAAAATTTCAAAGACAAGAAATTCTACCATAACATATCGATTTTCTTTGCTTCTTAATGAAAATGGTCTGAAATTTTTTGAATATTTAAACTCCACTCTCTAATTATATACTCCACCAACCTAACCCAATTAGGTAATTATAAAGTGTTGCATAGGAAACTATTGAAATACACAGAAAACCCTTTTAGCAGTACTAATTACATCTTGATTTTTTTTTTTTTTGAAATTTTTTTTTTTAACGTTTATTTATTTTTTTGGGACAGAGAGAGACAGAGCATGAACGGGGGAGGGGCAGAGAGGGAGACACAGAATCAGAAACAGGCTCCAGGCTCTGAGCCATCAGCCCAGAGCCCGACGCGGGGCTCAAACTCACGGACCGCGAGATCGTGACCTGGCTGAAGTCGGACGCTTAACCGACTGCACCACCCAGGCGCCCCTGATTTTTTTTAAAACCCTAAGCCCTGAGCCTTCCCTATTTCCTGAGAAAATGGTGGTCTTAATCTTAAAACTTATGTCCTATTCCATACATTTCAAGTAAATTAGAGGTAGCTCAGCACATTGTCAAAGGGAAAGAAATATTAGGGAACATTTTTCAAACTCCTCAGTTTAGAGATAAAAATCTTTAAGGCGCAGCGAGGTTAAATTATATGTTGAAGGTCCTGTGGTCAGTGAGGACTAGAATCCAATTCAAAGATTCTTTACACTGAGCTCTCTCAAACAAAATAGTTAAGCACTCCAAAATAAGAACAAATACATACTAGGCATCTACACATGGTAGGCATGTGCCTAGTATTCACAGTAGAAAGATAGTCACATGATTATATAATACACTGTGCTACATGCAAATTTCAGAAGGAGCACAGATGGAACACTTGACTCTATTTTGGATTAAAATGTATTCATATATTTTTATGAATAAGTACACACTTTAAATCTTTAGAAGTAGTATTTTTTACCACAAAAAATTAGGCTGTCTTGAGCGTTGCTTTTTATCAATTTATGGCTTTTCCACATCTATCTGAATCAGCACAGGAGGATCTACTTGACTGTCTAGTACTCCGTTGTGGGCATGTATCCTAAGTCATTCATCCTGTCCCCATAATGGGCATGTGGATTGCTTCCTGTTCTCTACTATTACAAAAACACTTCAGTGAACATTCTTTCAGCTGTTAGCAGTGGTAACAATGACAATAATTGTACAGAGGTACAAAAGAATAAAATGTTCAAGAGTGGTTATCTCCATAGAACAGAGTTATGGAGGATTTTGATTCTTCAACCTTATATATTTCTGCAATGTCTCAGCTCGTTTAAGTGAGCACATTACTAATTAGTGCTATCTGTTAATATGAGCACTATGTAAAACATGTAACATTCACTAGTAGCTACAACACCGTAAACCTTAACACCCACAGTAGACTACACAATTTACAATCACGAACCATTTGTTGAGAGAAACTAGCCTCAGAAATGCCTGGAGAATCCTCAAGAAATACTTCTCACATACCGAGAAACTGTACAATAATCACGCAGCTAAGAACCACACGAGAGATACAGCTGTCACAATCAAGTGTGGGAAGAGAGTAAGGGAGGGTTTGAACAAGCACCATCCAAAACTGAAAATGGCCACGTTCATATGTTCAACACATTCTGCAGCTCAAACACAAATATGAGTCTTATTACAATCACTCCTCTCCAAAAATATTTCATAATTATGACAAGAGTCCACCAAAATCTCTCTCAGATATCGCAAAACTCACCGTTTCTGATTTTCAGACTCTTTCTTGGCTTGCTCCAACGCCAGCTCCTCAGCCACTCTTCTTTTCAATTCTTCATCAGAAACTAGGATCAATAGAGTGGAAGGAGAGAAAATCAATGATTTCTTAAAAACAAAAGCAAGACAATACTCCAGAAAAACAAAGCGAAGACTAGATCTTAATGGGCAAAGTTCTGCCAGCTGGTCAGCATCTCCTTGGAACTACCTAAGCACTGTAGAAAAGACCAATTAGTGCACTTCAGGAGTAATTTAATCAAAAGTTCCCTGGTGACCTAGAAACTTCCACACCTGCCAAAACGTATAATAAACTCAAGTAGCTGCTTACTGCCCAGTGGGGACCGAACCATTAAGTACAAATTCTTTAGGATGATGTCCTATCATTAAAGTGTGACCATCACGTAGAAGAGGAGGAGAGGCTGGAAGGAAGGGACTTCAGAGAGGAAGAGGAAGAGGAAGAGGACATCAAAACATTCTCACTTTGATAATTAATCACTTTAAAGAACCACTTACGACAGGAAGAAAATCATTTGTATTTACAACCATTTTTCCATGATTTGTGAAAAAGGACATTTACAATTTATGAAAATTTTATTTTTCTTTTAACTTCTTTATTAAGTTTGTTGCATAAAAGATACACGTTCTCATACTGACAAGTCTTGCCATGAACAAAAGCAACACAAATAAGGCAACAGCAAGGTGTGCTTCACATATAAACAATCATGTGGTAAGAATGAGAAATCTGGCCCTGTACAACAAAAAGATTAGGAAGCAAAATGTGAATAACCCCTGCATTCAGAATATACCCAAATGTGTGCACAAAGACAGTGCACCCATAATACAGCTCACTTAAATTCCTGTTTATGATGCATAATTCCTTAATCATCCACTTGTGCAAGAAGAATGAACATGAAGAAACATGAAATCCAAATTGCATTTATTTTCACAATATCAATGCTATACTCAAAACAGTAACTTCATTGAATCTAAAGGTTAAATGTTTCAAAGTGAAAGGCAATCTTAAATTTTTTAACCCTATGAAAGGGTCTGCGAGAACAGGTGGCTTATTTTTCTGCTTGCAAGGAGACTAGGTCTCAGCCTGCACTAAGTGGCATGAGCAACAAAGGACAACAGACAAATACCACTGAGAGTAATGCCCAGACATATCAAAATCTCGACTTGAACCATGTTCTTTCTACTTCTATAGCAAGTCTATTAAACGACCAGCGTAATGGAAGCTTCTGCCTCATGCGACAGAATCACTAACTTAACTATACATCTATCAGAAATTTCCAAACCCCATTTCCAAAACAATTTTAGTACACCTATTAAGTACTGTAGGTCACTTAGAAAACCAGAAATAAAACACACAACCAGCCTTTGCAATTAAAAGGTTTTCATAACATATAAACAATGTTCAGATACAAATTCTGAACTAAATGTTTTTTCTAAATATGATTTATGTAATCAAGGCTTTCTTAAACAAAGACAGGTCTTAGATGTATGATCTGTACAAACTTACAGTAGTGTATATTCCAAATAGAGATTTTCCTCTTATTATGATATGACAATGTAACTCTTTTCTGAGTGAAGACATATGCTAAGGCTTAAGGTGTAAACAACTCTGGAAGGCAAACAACTTAGTAAAGAAATAACCAGTCATCTAAAAATGTGTATCATCTCATAACAGGCCCCTGAATTTTCAAATTTACATGTGAGAATATATTTACATCTTAAATTTCTAGGAAAGGCACAGGCTTTATATAAAAAAGCAGCAAAATTTTAAACCCACCAATTTATTGAAAAAGCCATTACTTTTATTGGAAACAAATAATGCTTCTCAAAATGGTGGCAACAGGTCAAAGTATAGACATGTTTCATACAGTGTATTTCTCCCTTTAATTATATTCCAGAAGGAGGTGGAATACCTCCTTGGGGTGGGAAGCAGAAGTATTTGATGGATTGTGTGAACTGGTCTCCTTGTACACAAACCATGCATTTCCTCCCCAAAGTATCATATTCAGAAAGCCAAAGATCACAGACACATTTAGGGATCCGCTACTAGTCACAGAGCCAAAATAACATGTCACTTCTTGATGGTCACAAGGCTGAAGTTCCTTGACAATACTGTGACCAGTAGCTACTTTAATATCTGTAAGAGCTTTAGCCCAGGCTGAAGTGCTCACCAACCACAGAAAAGTGGCAACAAGAGTAACAATGAAGCCAATCATGGGAAGGTTTCGACTATCCCGACACAGGTTCATATAACCAACATAGAGCAGAAGGGCAGCTGAGCAATACAGGAAGACAAAGACTGCAAATGTAACGTAGAATTGTGCAGAAGAAGGGTAATCTCCAGTAAGGACATAATTTTTCCAATTTACATCACACACGTTTGCATCTGGAATTGCCTCAAATAATGCTTCATTCAACCTGAATGGATAGGCAAAAAAGCAGCTGTAATCGTCTTATTTTCACTAACTTTAGGACAAGTCACTTGAATTTCTGTTTTGCCCTTAAAACCTCCACAGGTGGCAAAAGCAAAGATAGAAGCAATCCACTCGAGGACCTTGATGAAGCTGAGTAGCTCCTTGAGCAGGTTGAGGTTGAGCTGGAAGGAGGACATCCTCTGAGGGAAGGGGGAAGGGAGCAAAAATGTTAAAGCCGTATTTTTGGAAACTATGTCATCCACGTCAAGTGCCAACAATTGGAGAGAGATGTAAAAAAAAAAAATGCTGAGAACACAGCTGGAGCTTTCTAAATACCTGGTGACTTGATTTGAAACATCTGGTGTTTCCAACTGGAAGATGTTGTACGATATGTTTTGTAAAGATTCTTACAGCTATGATAGCAAATCAAATAAACAAATCTGACATACTTCTTAAGAGTCTTCATAAGAAATATGTAGAGAGCATTTCCTCTTTACTAGAAATCCACTACCCAAAATCATGACCAAGAAAGCACCACAAAAATTGGGGGGAATCTAGGGATACCTACAGGAGCTAAGAAGTATTTCAAATGGTAGAGGCTATTAGGTGGGAAATGAGGTGGGACCGTCTCTCCTGTGCAACAACACTTTGATGATCTCCACGCTTATCAGCACCTTGCCTCAGCGCATATGCAAAAAAGTGAATTACAACAGGACATAGAAAGTCTTTTTAAAATTTAGCTGACACTGGACAATAACAAAGAAGATATGGGAAAGGGCATAAGGATGTGTTCTCTTTTTTTTTTTTAATTTTTTAATGTTTATTTATTTTTTGAAAGGGAGGTAAGAGTGTGAGCAGGGGAGAGTCAGAGAGAAAGGGAGACACAGAATGTGAGCGGTCAGCACGGAGCCCAATGTGGGGCTTGAACCAAGGAGCCATGAGATCATGACCTGAGCCAAAGTCAGGCGCTTAACTGACTGAGCCACCCAGGCACCCCTGTGTTCTCTAAGTTGTAGATTATCAGGAAACAACAAGAGCATCAGAGGACATCATCAAGAAGGTGAAAAGACAACTGACAGAATGAGAAAAAATACTGACAAATCATATAGCTGATAAGAGACTTGTATCCAGAATACACAAACAAAAAGACAACAAAATTAAAAATGGGCAAGGGATAGAAATGGGCATTTCTCTAAAACAGATCACACAAATGGCCAATAAGCATATGAAAAGTGACTGAAGGGCATTCATCATCAGGGAAAGGCAAATCAAAACAATGATACACCAATTCAAACACAGTATAATCAAAAAGACAAACATTAACAAGTGTTGCTGAGAACATAAAGAAATTTACGGCAGTATTATTGACAATATCCCAAAAGTGAAAACAACCTGAATGCCTATCCACTGATGAATGTATAAATAAAATGTATATCCATCTCAATAAAGCCTTACAAAGAAAAAAGAGTATAATACAAAAAAAGAAGAATGGACAACGAATTAGGGAAAGGGTAAACACTAGTTGAGTCTAATCCCAGCTTGGCCATCAACAATCTGGAGGACCTAGGGGAAGTTACCAGCCTCTCTGGACAGTTTCCCTCAAAAGGTTGTTCTCAAATGGATGTTCTCCAGGGTCCCTTTCAACTATATACTATGCTGCCCTTTGGCTTCTCTCCTCCTTCACCGTCCATAAGATGAGAAAGATACAAGTCTAGGCTTTGAAAAGGTCACATAAAAGCAAGACAAGAACTAGAACAGAGAATTCTGTCTATATTCAGGCAAATCTTAAAATTCTTTTAGTATTAAAGGTTTAAAACAATACAAACACCAACAAGAGAAATTAGACAATAATAGGTCAACGAAGAGTCTAAACAGAATAGTCCCTGTTTTTCCATTAGCTAGACTTTGTATCAGTCAAATAACCTACCCGAGGTTCGACTTCCTCAACCAAAAACAGGACCCGCTGGGTTACACGGGTGTCAACTGTCTATGAAGTTCTAGGCTATGCACTCCACAAGGCGATGATTTTCACATCGTCAGCTACTTCTCATAAACAAGCAAAACAACATCACACTACATTGTTTCAAGTTGCTCACAGCTGGTAGCTCTAATTAGTAGCAAAAATTGAAACAAGTATTTAATCCGATTAGTGCTGCCCAAACTATACCCTTAAGTTTCACATACCAGTTAGAATCCACACACAGGCTGATGTGTAGTCACACCGTTTCCCTGGATTTTTTCAAATTACCACAGCAACATTTCTCTCAGGCAAAATACAATCAAATTCTCAACCACAATTCAACTGAATTTCATTCAACCAATTAAAACTAAGTTTCAGTGAGACCTCAGCATCCCAGGTCTGAGGATACAGCAATGGGATCTGTTTCCTAAGTCTCCATATCTTCCACAGTGTGCTTTATGCCTCTTACATATAGGGGCTTCCTACCACGGGAAAAGCCAAAGTCTGCAGAGAGCTTCTTACAATCGTGTGATAAACCTAAAATGTAACAGTAAGGACTCCATTACCAAATGGCAACGAGCTGGGTGGCTGGGAAGGCAGCCATGCAGAAGAGATTGCAGAGAAAGAAATGTAGCCTCAAGGCTTGTCCTCTTTCTCTATACTATCCTGCCTATCAGGTCAACCCCACCACCTGCCAGGGGTGAGGTGAGAAAGAGATGGAGGTAACTGGTGATGTCATCCAGGCAGGCCACAAGGGAAAGAGGTGGGAGTGAGAAATTACCAGCAATGCAAAGGGCCAGGATCTCCTAGAGGTCACTGAAGAAGACATGCCCAAGGGACCAACTAGCTGACATCACTTATGGTCAGTAAAGACACCAACGCACAGCTGTCTTTCTAATGCCCCAGCCAGTTCTTTAAAAAAAAAAAAAAAACAACAAAATGCAATGTTGGGTCTCACATCCAAGGTCACAGCTGAAAAAGTAATTACCTTAGCTACAAGTGAGAATTTAAAATAACAAAAGATAAAACATGACCTAGCATAAAGAGTTTAAAATCTAAAATAGCAAATCTAAGCCAGGCAGGAAAATAAACCAGTGTAGTAAAGGGTTTTGAGCAAATCTAAGTTTCATGTTATTTGTTTTTAAATCAATAGAATACAGAAAGCAACAATATATTTCTTCTGATGGGTCTGGTCCAAAGCACAGAAGGGAAAAAGATATACCATTTGGAGACCACTATTTAAAATGGCCTTTCTGAAAACACTCTTTTCAGCTCTCAGGATCTGAACATTTTCTCAAATAAAACTGTTATTAAATTAAAAGGTCAGAGTTTCAGGATGGACTACTTTAAGAGAAGCACAAGAAAGGCCAACCTTGCCTATTAGCACAGTGAGTTTCCAAGCAGATCTTTAGGGACGGGAAAAGTTTGTGAAATGAGAAAAAGTGAAAGAGAGAAATGCTCAAGCCATATAAATCAGATTTGCCATGGAAATCTGCAAACCTATTTCAAGCTCAGTAAGTATGGTTCCACAGCTTTTACATACATACGACACTTTCCTTTTAAAATGTGTTAAGACAAAAGGGTATTTTCTTCACATACTTGAATGCTTTGCTTTTAAAAATCTTCTCAAAAAACATGTTAATGTCTTCCTCAGTGGCAAATTGTGTCTTAAGGAACACAAATACTGGCATTTTCTCAATTAGTTATAGATGATACAACACTGACCAAAGAACATGTGAGAAAAAGTCAAGTATTGCAATGGCTTGGATATAGCAAATCTGGCCCTAAATCCTTTATTTAAAACTATTATTGAAAACAATAGGGGCGCCTGGGTGGCTCAGTTAGTTGAGCATCTGACTTCAGCTCAGGTCATGATCTCACAGTTCGTGGGTTCGAGCCCCACGTCAGGCTCTGTGCTGACAGCTCAGAGCTCGGAGCCTGGAGCCTGCTTCGGATTCTGTGTCTCTCTCTCTCTCTCTCTCTCTCTCTCTCTCTCTCTGCCCCTCCCCCACTCATGCTCTGTCTCTCTCTCTCTCTCAAAAATAAATAAAAATGTTAAAAAAAATTTTTTAAGACTTTAAATTTAAAAAAAGAAAAAGAAAATAATAAATACTTGTATGGTTGAAAGCTGCTCACAATTCCTAACAAATCTGTACTTGCTTTGAGTAAACAACATTCTAAACACATGTTTTCATTAGTCCACTAATTCTTTACTGACTGCCTAGCAATCTTGTACTCCTCTCGGCCACATTCTAAATTTCTAAGAATTTAAATTCTTGTTGTCTTAAATCTTATTTATTTATTTTGAGGGGTTGCAGGGAGGGGCAGAGAGAGAGAAGACAGAGAATCCCAAGCAGGCTCCACACTCAACGCAGAGCCCAATGTGGGGCTTGATTCTCACAAACCGTGAGATCACGACCTGAGTCAAAATCAAGAGTCAGACGCTTAACCAGAGGAGCCACCCAGGCACCCCTGAGAATTTAAAGTCTAAAGAAATTCTGAGAATCTAAGTTTCTCATTTGGGTTCAGGATCAAATAAGAAACTCCAAGATTCCTACCTTGTTCTAGATCCTAGTGTCCTTAGGAATAGAATACCATGGTCTTAATAGTCAGAGGAAGTGTAGCATAAATTCATTATGCCTCACTTGCTTCTATGTGATATGACTTGTGTCTAAATCCTGTTTTCAGAAACTGGTTAAACTAGGAGACCGGGAAGGAAGGGGTGAAGAGAGAGACTCACTATACTCAAGACAGTTCCTTGAGTGGAAAACAGAAATGACTCCAAAAGATGGAAGAATTTTATGAATGCCTCACACATCTATGAAAACACAAAAACTTGAAACTACTACTATGATTCAAGATTTACATGGATTCCCTGAACCTCAAGGGACGTATCAATGTCCCCTGTAACGTTTTCCGCCTATGACTTTCCTTTTCCCTTCATCTTCTTTGCAACATCCTTACACTATAATTCCCTCCCCAGTTACCATATTTCTTAAACAATCTCTAGAAGTTACTTAATGAAAATGATGGCTTGCCTCCTGGCAAAATGTCAGGTCCTTCGGGACTCTTTTCTTTCCTCTATTTCTCTTTCCAGTTTTACCATCTGCACACACATGTCATGTCCGATTTTACAAAGCCTATTATTTTCATATGCTGGTTTAAAAACACTGAAAAGAAACTATGAAGATCTACTGACAGAAGGAAATAAATGTATATATTCACATAACACAAGCAGATTTTAC